TCTGAGGCAGCCTACCTTAGACGGGTCGACCGGTTATTATTTTATAACAAAATTCATATTTATGTTATGAAGTATCGTACTTTTGCTTATATTATTTTTGAATTTATAATATTTTAATTTAAAAGTAATATATATATTGAAAAAATATGATTATCTAACTGTTAGACCAGTATAACCGTAGTTTTGGGTATTCATTTGACATTTCTAAAGACTTTTTCGGATTTTCGAAATCATGGTTTATTTAATTTAAAACTTTTTAAAACTTTTAAATTTCTCGAGGTATTCATTTAAAATTTTAATAAGTCTTAAAAAATCTTTAGATATTTAACTTATTTGAAACTAAAATTTGGTAGGACTTTTTAAAATAAACGAATAGGCCTCTTTTACTTTATGTGATGGGATAAGATGAGATTGGACAACTTTAATCCCATTAACTTTACACGTGAGCGTGTGTCCAATGTTTACAAAACATGATGCATTTTAAGCCAAAAACAATCAAGCAATTCCTAACCTGGATAAAATGACAGGATAAACAACAAAATATGATGTAAAAGTGTGGAACCCACAACATAATTTTATATGCCTAAATTTGTAATTTGGTGGACTTCTAAGAGTAAAAGAGACATTTCACATGTCAATTTTTTGACAAAATGGTCATTTGTATGGTGGGATTACATTCTCACCCTCAAGACCGGACAAAATAATTCTGCTAATCGTGCATAAAAATGTGGGATCCACAAGACACACCAGCTTATTGTCCAATTCCATCATAGTTAGTAAACGTTGAATAACAGGAGTTATCCAACCATATCCTATTCTATAATCTTAAGTGAAAGAGGGCTTAATGTTTACATCATGCATGAGAAGTATCCTACTTTAAAAAACAATTTAAATAAAACTATAATGTTTTATATATTTTTATATAAAATGATATGACGTCAGCCTGTTTAACAGGCACCTCCACAAATTCAAAGATTTATATACTGCCACGTCAGCCTGCACATCGTAGCCACAAAAAAGCGGCCACAAAAACCCGCGCAAAATAGCCGGAAAGAGCCCGCCAATCCTAAAATGCGCCGCGAGTATTTGACTACTCCCGAGTCTCGCACTTCCCAATTCCACTCATCAGCTAATTCTGAAAATTACTGAAAAAAATTGTGATTCGAAATTGATATAAATTCCTTTTTTTTTTCCTGAAAATCGTAAGCTCGTAATGGCGTGCCTCCAGCTGCTGAAATCGGCTCCCTCGAATTCTCAGATGAAATTCAGATGTCTATGCTCGAGCTTCAGTTCCATGGCGACGCTGAATAGGAGAACCAGATTTCCGAATTCGAGGTTTAGGATTTCCTGTAAAGCTGATGAGCGTGATAAGCAAAGCAACGGTAAGTAGGTGCGTTTTTCAGATTCTTCTTATATGAAGGCAATTATTGATGATGATTAATGATTTTTTTGGGATGTTTGATTATGAATCGCTTGATTCAATCCATTCGTTGATGGTTTTATGTGTGGATTTTGGAGGAAATTGAGGGGGAAAAGATTCGATTGAATATTAGCGCGTGGTTTTGTGATTATTATAGTTTCTTTAAGGCCTTGATAATGACCTGTAACTGTGGGATTGGGTATTCAAGAGCTTTGGTATCCAGGTCTATGGAATCAGATTCTAATAAGAGGATATGAAAGAGTTCCTTGCTCATCATTTTAATATGAAGAAAGATTGTGATGGGCATTTATCAAATTTGAATTTGAACTCTATTATGTATATGTGTGTTATGAAGGCGTTGTTGCATGCTTGATCGGAAGTGCCGTTTTGGGGCATGTTCAGAGCTGTTTGAATTAGTAGACTTTTACGTGAAAATTATTTTCATATTTAAGAAACTTGCAGTGGTGATGAATCACACCACGTGTATTAAACGAAAGGTGAGTGAGGTTGGTGATACATACTTATTTATGTTGATAGGAGAATTGAACGAGCCAATAATGAAATTGAGAGACAAAGAAAGTCATGTGAGGTATAAAGTAAGCGTATGCAAGACTAACATCTTAATTAAGTGAGATAATGGTTCACCAAAGTCCTAACCATGATATTCTTCTCCACTGCGACAACATTACATAAAACATTTCTATGGTCATTTGGTGTAACTTTCGTGGTATAGTGTTTGGGAGATCTGAAGAAAAAAGAAATTATCATGGGTGTTTACCTTATTATCATTGTATCTCGTGGATAATTGTCTTTGGTTAAAGGATGCCTTGCCTGTGGAAGTAGCTTCAAATTACGACCAGAATCATCATAAATGTTGCAACAAAATGCATAAAAGGTCAAACCAATAAACATACCATGAAAATAGGGGTCAATTGCTTATCCATGAAATACATCGTGTGTCACTCTACATGCCATGTCTGTTGCCTTATTGAATCATTTTCTGGATTTAAATCTTTGTTTCGTTCTTTGCAGGAAGCTTGCCTGATAGAGATTAGCTTTCTGTACAATAATAAGTAATTATAGTAAAACCAAGTTCCATGATATTGTTGCTGATTGGGAAGTTTCAACCAAGTGGGCTTCCTAAACAATCAAACATTAACTACTATCGATGTTTTAGACAAGGCATTTGAAGTTCGACATTAAAATTATCTTTACAAACCTACTAAATTGTGCAAGTGTATACAATGAAATGGGATATTAAAGCCATAATTGGTAAATTTTCTTCCACGGATCTTCGCTGCTTGCTTAATCGGTTTCATAACTTAGATTTTGTAAAGTTAAAATCCATCTCTCCCTTTTCACCTTTTTTTTTTTTTTTTTTTTTNTATTTTTTCTTGAACTTTTTTTTTTTATTCTTATCTTTCCCAATTCATCAGATTGCTGAATTAGTAAAACGTTCGAAAACTTCATGGCCAAATAATGTCAGGTGAAGAACCTCCTGAGTCTTTATTCATGAAAGAACTAAGGAGACGAGGAATGACACCAACTTCTTTGCTTGAGGAGAAAACTAGAAGCACCGAGGGAAATGAGGAGATAAAGTTCAGAGAAGAAGATGGAGGATGGAGTTACTCAAGAAGAAATGGGGTCTCAAATGATGGCGAAGTAAGCCTATCTGGTCAAAGGGAAAAATCAATGGCCCTCAACAGCGAAGGTCTTGAGGTGAAAAGATTCTCTATTTCTAATTAGCTTGGACCCGTATATCAGATTATAGAAAATTTGCCACCGTAGTTATTTCACGCGACTGTGACTTATGGACCTGTTATTTGTATATTCATTGCATGCTTGCATGGGGTAGTATTTTCTTAGGAGTTTGTAATTTTCGGCCCGAAGTAGTTGAGATTTTATATTTAGCCATCCATGAGCATTCCCACAAAAACTGTGCAGAATTCTAGGTTGTTAAAATCTTGAAGTGATCATAAA